ATACCAGGAATGCAAACAGTTGGAAACCATTAAGGGCCACGAGAGGGTGAGGGCTCCCGTTATTCTTAACAGGACACCAAATCACCGTGCTTCTGCCCGAGCCTGTGCAAGACAGAAGCCCACGCAAGGTAGGACGAGGGGTTCTTCAGCTGCAGTCTCAGCGTGAGTTAAAATCGTCACTGCTCAAACCCCTGAAAAATCCCAAACTACAGTTACCTAAAAAACAAACAGGAATGGTCTTGAAATTGAAGACGATTTATCAAGAGACTAATTATCTTTTGAGCTCGTCTGGAATAGCAACGAGCCCCTTTTAAACGAAAGCAAACCCGTGATGGATATCTCAACACGGCATGCTTAGCAAACTTTCCCAGTACGATATTACTTCAGGGTAACTTATCACAGCAACCCATATGTGAAACGAACAGAGGGGAAAAAAACACAAAGGTAGGAAGGAGGCAGGCACTTTTCAAAAGCGGTAATTCTCTCTAAAATCTCAAATCTCAACTGCCTAATGAATATTTTAAATGGAAGGAGGGATGGATCACTTAAACTCGTTCAAAACAAGGGCAAGGCAGGCAACTAATAAACAATCCATCACGAATTGGGAGAGGCCTCAATCTAAAGCAAATGTTCAGTGCAGGATTTCCGGCCTAAGAATTATAAGGAGGTTCTGCTACCTGTCACCGTTAGTCTATAAAACTAATCCCAGGCCTCTTTCAGACAGAGCAAGTAGCAGCAGCGTATATTGTGGGCTCATTATGAGCCAGACCTTGCACTAAATTCTCATGTTATCTTCGTGATAACATCCTAAGACACAGACATTATTATTAGGTCTATTGTTACAGAAGTGGCATCTGAGTTTTAGGTTACAGAGCTCATTACTGGTCGCAGCTTAAACTGCTGGCTGACCAAGGTGAGGCAAGTGAGGCTCTCTCCTTGGGTACAAAACATAAGGTGATGCCCCCAAACTCAGTCATGGAGATAAAAATAATTTAGTGCAATATTTTAAAATTCCAGATTAGTGGGGGGAAAAAATAACTATGATGAGCAAAAATCAAAATTTTCATTGAAGACAAGATCCAGCTCTGCACTTGTATGCCTTGGCCTCACGCCCGTCACCCTCATCCTTGGCCCTGTTGCTGAGTGATGCTGCCTCTGAGTTTGAATAGTGGATCCAAGCCTCCTCGGGGATGATGGAAAGAAGCCCGAACATTCCAGGATGTGTTTGTGGGCAACACATGCCCAGGGATCCACAGCAGGGGTGGGTACGCAGTAATCTGATCAGCTATGCCCACCCTTGCTTCCTCCACGCTTGCTCTTGCTGAGTAGAATAAAACAGTATTGATAGCAGGGACTCTACCCTGAATTCGTACTTTTCGCTCTCACTGGCGGAGCCTAATGAAGGCTGAAATGAGATCTCTGTGTGTCTTAAACTAAGAACAGGGAGGAGCCTCCCCTACCATTCTTCCAGGTCCAAAGCCTGCCCGAGGCCATTCTCTTCAAGAGAACTCAACGTGGAAAGGTAACTTTAATTTGTGAAAATCATTACAGTGCAGGGAACCATGTCAGGGGAATTTCTGGCAAATAAGAGGGCTTGGTGGAAGTGGTAAAGGCTTTTCTTCACTTGTAGCAACTAGGAAAATTGAAGAATAAAGTCCCGCTCATTCACAAATATTGTTTGAGGAGTACTTGGAGAGCTTGGCCACTGTTTCCTGTTGCCTAGAAAGCTGTTTGTACCAGCTTCCTGGATTCAGCGATTCAAATGGCCTAAATGAAGACTAAGAGAGAGACAGAGAGGGAGAGAGAAAGGAGAGAGACACACAGACAGGCAGAGACCGACAGACAGACAGGGAGACAAGTATTTGGCTTTCATGAAAAATAGCATCTTTACTTTCTCTCATGCTCCCTTTAGTTTCTTTCCTTTTTTTTCTCCTCTTCTCTCTTACATTCCCATCTCACTTAATATCCTGATGTATCAGATTCTCTCCTTGAGCAGAGCAGAAACCTTGGCCATCCAAACTATGAGATCAGTAAGAATCCCAGAACTCTCCAACTGTCTGATGACTAATGAAATTTTGCCTTTTGCCTCCAGTTCTAACAAATGTGCATCATTCACAAGCACTTAGAATTTAAAATTGCCTTTTTTTTTTTGAGTTAATAAACTGTCCAGTGGTAAGTGAGCATCAGTTTACAAAACACTTTGTCTTACTTTCCACTGAGTTACTTAATACTCCCTCCCACAATCCATTTGCATTGATTCCTTCTTCATCAACTGTCTCCGAATTCCAACACAGCTCAGAGCTGCAGAGAATTCCATTGCTGATTCACCAGGGAGGCAGTTGTACTCGGTGAAAAAAAAAAAAAAATACAAATAAGTATCCACTTAAGACGGTACTTATTTTTTAATAGAGCTTTCCTCTTAATTATAATATAGCATTAGGGTTTTTTTTTTTCATTCTCCTTCTGAACTTTCATAACGACACTATCAAAAAGTAACAAATATAAATTTGTGCGGCCTGAAATATGCAATTTAATCATAAGCTGTAATTTCCATATCACTGAGAAAGAAAGAAAAAATCAAATGATTAAACTCCAGTGCATGAGGACCAACCTTGAATTAAATTTTACTCTCTGCTCAAGTTAGTTTTTTTATGCAGCAATGTCAAGAATGTTCAAAGGTAATAGTAAAACAGCCACGGTTAGATTAAAAGTCTATGCCCAAAGTGTTTACTGAAGATCAAACTCTTCGTTTTTTTGCAAACTAGAAATGTCTTGCAGACATCTTCAAAACCTCTTTGGAAGGACAGGCAATGATATCACTGTCGTCACACTAATATTACTCTGTTGTCTCTGTTCCATTCCTTCCCCCCTCGGAATCAGAAATGATGATCTTTCTGCCAGAAAAAAAAAAAAAAATCCAGAAAATCCTCCCAGATCAGTGTCTCAGTGAGAACTGACCTTGTTTATTTTGCAGCCCAGCCCCCACCCAGGCTCCTGCTCAGACAGTCTCAAGTCACAAGAGTTCCCAACTTCCTAGTCAACTCCAAGGTGGGAAGACAGAGTCTGAAGGTAACGGGATCCACCCACTAGAAAGATGTTAATCCTGACAAACTGCTCAAGCGGTAGCCTGAACCACAGCTAGATTGAATTCGGTCTCTCCCGAGAGGGGCGGACAAGGCTGGCAGTTAACAAAACCGCTTTTCATGACGCCCTCAAAAGCAGATGGGCCCGTGCAGGAAGTTGGAGAAGGCCGCCATTGCCCTCTAGTGGCCAGAAGTGCAATCTTCCGCGAAGGAGTCCATTTCCAGAGATGCACAAGGCTCTTAATGTCAGGGTAAAATTATAGCAGAGAGATGTCTAATTATGCTCAAGTGTTGTGTTTTTTCTTTTTTCTTTTAGCCCTTCTGCTTATAGAGGAAGCTGTGGATGGCTATCATGGCAATCCTCATGGAACGGCTCATTCCTACTACTCCAATTGATGCACTGGGAGGTGTCCAATTTTCTCCAGGTTTATAATTTTTTCTCTTTAACAGACCTGTTGATGTTTTTCCCTTGATCAATTAAATAACAAATTTCTACAGCCCAAAGATCTTTATATATTCATAACTGTTAACTCTGAATTGAAAATGTTGCCAACCAACCCAAAATTCTTGGTAAATGTGGAATGTGGATTCTTGACAAATTAGGTAACTTTTTATGAAACAGCAGCCAATTTCCAAGGAGGAAAATCTTCCCAAACACATCTCAATCCCTTAAATCATTGGCTATTGAATTTACACAGTGCTCATATTTTCTAAGAAAGAAAAAAAAAAACCTGGAAAATCAAAAGCAATCCGCAAAATCGAAAAGTCAAAAAAAAAAGGGTGCCCCGTTTGCTACCTACTTTCAAACACTATAGGACCACTGTTTCATTACTATTATTGGATGATTAAGAATGCCTACGATCAGAGTGAAAAAATCAGTATTGAAAATGAACTCAAATGAAATTATGCTCCTTAAACATCTACCAACATAAATGTATTGAGAATGAAGGAAGACCCTCAGATTTGCAGAGCTTGTTTAGAGGGTTCGGAAAAATAGATTCGAATGTAATACATCAAAGTTTATCAACTTCATAAGTCACAGGCATCCACAGGCAAGACTCCAAGAGGCACCATGGTCATGAGAGTGCAGCTTTGGCATTGTAAATCAGGCCATGAGGTCAAAGTCATGGCGTTTCCCAACTATGAGGGTCCCCAAACCAGAATCTTTACAAAGCAGCCATGTAATTCCATTCAAAGCAGAAGAAAAAAACATGAATTATGAAGACAAGTACATTAAAAGAGCATGAAATTGATCTGCATTTCCCCAAATCATGGCTTGGACTCTCCAAGTCTACCCCCCCCCAAAAATAAACAATCAAACATACACAGCCACAGCCGCCACTGCAAAGAGGAAAACTGAATTCTAGGTCATAAAAAAACAGAGTCGTAACTTTTTTCCTTAATTTTCAAATTAACAAAAGATTGCATCTTAATTGAAAATAGAATTTAGGTTTCTAGTAATTTTACTGTCTAGTGTTCTGATAAGAATGCAGAACATAATGAAAGTTCTGAAGTGCTATCAAGATGGTCCAGCGCTTCCATTAGAACTATTTTAAAAAGCCTATTTTTTTCAGTAAGCAATAAGCAGCAGTTTGAGTAAATCTACATGTCTGGGCCCCACCAGATTATCCCATCCCCATCCTTTCAGTGTATTTTCTTCATTTCCCCCTCCCCCAGAGGTGGAAAGGGTGGTTTCTTTTTTCCAAACAATGTAATAAAATGACCAGTTTATGCAGACTCTGGAATAACTAAAAGGATAGTCATAATTATCAGGAATAACAAAGCATGGCTGCAAGACATTTTAAAGGAATAATTAGCAAAGTCTCTAAAGCAAGTTGTAAAGATAATTCCCACTCAAGCAAAGTTTCCTGGCCTCTCAAAAGCCTTTCCCTGGTCTCTAGTGGGAAGTACTCACGTTCCTTTGTGCTAGGCAGGGTTTCAGTTTTGCACAGAGGTTCCAATTCCAGGGCCAACTGGCCAACGCTAAAACTTGGAATGGTGCTTACATTTCAGGAACTTTAGTGGCTGCGGCCTCAGAGAGTCTCTGGTATTGGCCACAACTCTGTCCCTTTGTTTTGTAACTTTTATCCCTTTGTCCTGCTAGAGAAAGACCAGGCTCCCTGCATCTGGGGTAGGGCAGTAAGTACCTCTGTGTTCTGACGTCTGCACCTCCGTATTTGTAGGAAAAATAATTCCAGGATTAATGAAACGTAGGTCGGCCCCTTGTGTTCCCCTCTCCTCCCACCGTTATTAGGCTCTAGCGCTCCGAGCCCGGCCTGGCAAACGTGCCGATGCGATGCTACAGGATCCTCGCTCCTGAGAACACATCTGCATCCCCGTCCCCGGGAAATCCGGACACCCCGCAAAACCATCCATGTCTGCTGCAAGCCCAAGTGATAAGGCAATTGATCCACCCTCTCGCCAGATTAATTATCCTGGCTTCCCGGTGATTAAACCGAAAACTTACTGCCTCCTATTAAACAGGCAGGAACGATTTTAAGAAGGAAACAAGAAAAGATTTCACAGCCATCTAAACAAGATTTCTTTAGGGGGAAACCAAGGGGAAGACTTTAGGCAAATCTATACCCTCCTGCAGCAGGGTTTCAGCAACCACCCACCCCCTGACTCCCACCCCTTAGGGACGACCGGCCGTCATGCAGGGATAGTATTAAATAATTAAAAGATGCAAATTCTTAATAGCAGCGTGATGGCCCGTGCAATTCCTGCTGCATTGCCGGCAAAAGCAACAGGGCTTCTTCTAGCATCTACAAAACCTTTCACCCGGGAGAGAGAGGCGCGTGCAGCCCCCGGCGAAAGCTGGGCCTTGGCAAGAAAGGGACAGGGATGCCGGACCCGCAGGCGCCCCCCCCCCACCCCACTTTCTCTGGGGACTCTGCTTCCTGGCGCGAGGCGGGCCGAGGCGGGCCCTTCTGCAGCTCCGCCGGGTAGGGGCCAGGGGGTTGGGGGGAAGGAACCTCGCCTGCCCGCCCTCCCCATCCGGCCGGCTTCTCCGCGCTTCCCACCGCCCGGCTCGCGTTGCGGGGCAAAGCGCAAGGAGGGAGGCCGAGCGTGCCGGGAACCGGAGAAGCTAGGCGCGCTCCGAAAGGAGGCGCAGGTTTCGGGGGAGGTTTGGTTCGCAAAGTTAACGTTGACCCTGGCAGCTTTCCTGCCGAGCGCTAGCCAGAGCCGAGCCCGAGCCTGAGCCGCTCACAGACCTGCCCCTGCTCTCAGGGGAAGCCCACGGGCGGACGCCGGAGCCCCCGGGGAGACTCTGGCTGGAGGGCTGGAGCGCGCACCGCAGTCGGCGGCCGCAAACCCACGCGATTAAAGTGCGGGGAAAAGCCTCCCCGAGCTTGCTTCCTTCTGTTTCCCGGGGCTTCCCCGGCAGTCTCGACTGGAAGCACTAAGCCCCGGGGAGCGATCGGCTGGGATCCAGGAGGCAGGGGTAAGAACCCTGCAGAGAGCGGTCGTGTCGCCGCTTTCGGGAAGAGGCGCAGCGAGGGCGGGCGGGCGGGCACCGGGCCGGGGGAGACTTTCCCCCCGAGACATGACCAGGGGGCAGCCGGTGTTTCCTGAGCTCAGCTTTGCAGCCTCTTGCCCCAGCTGGGTACAAACCCCTCTTCCTTGGCCACGGTGCAGACCCCAGAGGAGGCCGGAGCCGGGGAGAGTGGAGGAGCGCACATCTGGCGCCTCTGCCCCTGCGCTGCCCGCGCCCGCAGCTGGCTCCCTTCTCCCTTTCCGATTTTTAAACAAACCTCTCCCCCTCCCTTTCTGCTTTGCATTAGTGAAGCCTTCTGGAGTCAGACAGAAGCCCCCCCCGCCCCCCCCCGCCCCATTCTCTCCAAGAGAAAAGCCTTCCCCCACACTCCAAGAAGCCCCAACCCAGCGAGAGGAAGAAGGGACTGGTGGCGCGCCTCACCTGGGGCCCTTGCGGGTGGACGCGACCTCCCGGCCGGCCGTCCCTGGCGCAAGGCGAGCGCAGCAGTGTCAGCCCCGGCCCCAGTCCGGATCCCATTCACAAGTCAGCGGCGGCTGCGAGCGGCCCCCGCGGCATCTGCTCCTCGGCCCGCGACGCTCCCCTCGGCTGGCGGCGGCCGCGGAATGAGCCGCTGAGCGCGCTAGTGGCAGGAATGAGAAACCGGGGGGAGGTGGCGGGCGGGCGGCACTGGGAGGGAAGGAGAGGGCGGGGGGCGGAGAGGAGCCGAGGCTGCGAGACGCAGCGAGATGGGCCTTGCAGAGGCTGCGGGGGCCGACCCCGTCCGCGCCCCTCCCCCCAGGGGCCCGAGAGATGCCAACCGCTGGATTCCTGGCCTCCCCTCCCGCCCCGGGTCGCAGCGTTCCGACTCCCTTGGGGCTCAGACGGAGTCTGGAGCGACTGAAGTTGGGCTCCGGGGACGCACAGCCAATCAGGGAGGGCGGCGGGGGGGAAAGCTGGAGAGGGTCTGGGAACCCCCATTTTCTTCCTTCCTCCAAATTCGCTCCGGTTAGTCGTGCTGGGCCCTCGCCTGGCCAGCCCGGATGGTGGGGTGGAGGAAGGCATCGCCCAAGTGGGGGAAGCAATCGAGAATTAAGGAGCCCATTCTACTCTTTTTCATTCGCTGTACCCCTACACCTTCCCAAAATCTCTCCACGGTGACAGCTCCGACCCAGTCCCCCAAACCTCCAAGCCCCCAACCCCGATCCCTTGCAAACTCTGCTTATGGCTAGGTGTGGAGCGGGGGCGAGGGACACTTCGGACTTGGGAAGACCCAGTCTCTGTTCTCTGCCAGCTTTTCTGCCCCCGGCCCGCAATGCTTCCGAGAGGGGGTCTCGGGAGCGCTTCTCCAGGGTCAGGCTGGAACCGCAACCCCCCAAGTGCCCCAGCCCTGCCCCAACCAGGTATCAGTGGCCCGCAGGTAGTGTCACTTGTTGCCTCCCCCTCTCTGCAGTCCCAGCACGGCCCTGTGGAGTGTGCAGATCGGCGGGCGGGAGGGCCTAACGGGGTGCAGTGCCCGTGTCCTTCCTCCGTCCTCCCTCTAGCCCTCACCGAGGACCCGCACCCGGGCTCGCTTCCTGCCCTCGCTCGCGGAGGCGCGGTGAGAAAGGGCCGGCGGGACGGGGGCTTCGGAACCACGCCAGGGACTGGGCGGGGCGCTCCCCGCACACTCCTGCGTGGGGACCCCAGGCTAGAGCAAGTTTCACGGGTGGGAAGAGGCGGAAGGAAGGTGGGGGCGCAAATGGGTAAAAGGTGAAAAGGAACCGCCTGGGGGGCGGTGTTGGGAGCGCAGGGATGAAGCTGGAAAAGGAGGAGGAGGAGGAGTGGTGAGCCCGCGAAAAAGAAGGAAGGGTAAGGAGGACGCGGAGGCAAAACCGGGTACTGGAGAGAAGGAATCGGAAAGGGCGTCAGGGGAGGAGACGGGCCCGGGAGTTAACCGAAAAAAAAAAACAAAAACGCTGAAAAGGGAGGAGAAAGCCTGGAAGCCTGGGAGGGAGAGCGCCGGGGCAGGGACTGGACTGCCCGCAGAGGCGAGGGGGCGGTGGAACCCCGCCCTCCCGCTCCTGGCCGCCGGCCCGCGGTCCCCGAGGGCGCACAGCTGCCCGGGTTTCCACCCCGTGCTGGAAGACGTGCGAGGAGCGGGGGCGAGAGAGGCTGCCCAGCCACCTACCCCCCTCCTCGGCTCTCTCGCCCTTGGTCTTCTCGGCGGACTCCAGGATCCCTGTGGCACAGGGTGCCTGCCCCGGTCCGCGTCCTGCGCAGAGAGGACGCGTCGGTCACCCTCCGCATGGAGGTGGCCTTTAAAATGCTCGTTCTTCCTCTGGGGGAAGGAAGGCTCTAATTACCAGCTGCCCAGTTCTTCTACTCCTCAGCTTCCCCCAGTTGATCGGAGTCCAAGGTCACAGTCCTGTGGGCCCCCAATACCCCCCACCCCCGCAACCCCCCGCGCCGGGTGTAAGGGTCGTGCGAGGCCATAGATGTCAAGTGCTTTTCTGGAGAGCGCCGCAGCGCGGGCGTCGCGGTGCCCAACACTTCTGCCTCCTCCTGTGGGTCCCCCAGGCCCTAGCCCCTCGCCAAGCTTCGCCTTGCTTCCTCTTTCCACCTCTTCGGTCCTGTCTTTTCATCTGCCACCGGGTTCTGCTCTAAGCCCTAAAACAGTGGGTACATCCCAAGCTGCCGCCAAAGTCCCCACTCCCAGGGGTCACTATTGCGATGGTGACTGGCTGCTCTGACCTGGCCATTTCCACTTACAAATGAAATTATGTAGGAGAGGAGGGAAGAGGGGGCGGCACTCCCTCTGAGATACTTGGAGTTTTGCTCTTCTATGGCTACAAACTGTTGCTTGGGTTTTCTCAGTCTTTCCACGTGGGCATAAAGGGAATGTGAAGCCAGGGTCAATCTAATTACGCATGTACAAAGATGTCCCAGGATCTCTTGATCCACAAGGAAAGTTTCATTAACTCCCTTTTGGAGGCATGTCCAAAGAGGAGCCTGGTCACATGTGATCTGACATTAGATCGAATTTGGCCTCTGCTTTCTGTTCAGAATATATCAAATGACAGCGATTGTTTTTATAGACCATCCCTTTAATGAATGGTAAGATCAGCGGATTTTTAAAAAGTTAAAAATCGCTTGGTAGGTTTCCACTGACATTGCACGCCTGAATCAGATGGAACCTCATGTTCAGCGACAGTCAATATTCCTTTGCACAACCCAGCAATTCTATGCCTTAGGATTCTACTCAAGAGAACAGAAAACATATGTCCACAGAAAGACATGTACCTGAATGTTCATAGCAGCATTATTCACAATAGTCAAAACCTGGAAACAAGCCAAATACCCATTGACTGGGTATTTGGTGTACCCATACAAAAGAATATTGTTCAGCAATAAAAAAAAAAAAGAAATACTGATCTTTGTTACATCATGAACGAACTACAAAAACATATGCTAAAAGCCACGTGAAAATTTATACAGTACGTCCAGAAAAGGTAAATTGGTAGAAACAGAAAGCAGATCAGTGGTTGCATGGAGCTAAATTAGAGCATGAACAGGGATTGACTACAAATGGCCCACGAGGGAATTTTGGTAGGTGATAGAAATGTTTTAAAACTGGATAGCAGTGGTGCTTGCACAAATCTATAAATTTACCAAAAGTTATTGAATTATAACCAAGAAAGACAAAAAAAAGTTCCTTTCACACCCTTTTTCCCAGAGTGTCTGTGACCTGCAGCTAAGCCCCAAGGGGAAACTTTTGCAAAGCAGTTTTAGATTAAAAGATGTAAGAAAAGAGTTCTAGTTCTCATGGAAAGATAACCATACTTCTATTCAGCAAGTTCTATTTTGGCGACTGCTTTGGAGAATCTTATAAGTGTTAAAGCAAGTTAATTCCCCCTTTCACTCTTCTAAGTGATTAATTCCTGGGAACTAGAGTTAGGCATTCCAGTTCGTGACATTTTAAACACACCTACACATAGACAGAGTACAAAGTGCACATTTCAGAGGGGATTTTTTTTTTATGACTATGTTAGGATCTGTCTTAGAAATCCATATCAAGTACTTGGGTGGTGTATTGTGTGATTACAGTTTAGATTAAAAAAGGAAAAGAAAAGAATAGAAAAATAAAAAGATCCCACTGACAGCTGAAATTGAAAGATTCAGTTCAGCCAGACAGCCCAAAATTTAGGTGTTTATCTTAACTTGTCTCACCTTTCCTTCACCTTGTTCTTCAAGGGTGGAAGCCAGGGTTCATGGTAGCTCTGGAGCCAGGATTAAACAGCCTCTTCTGCTTCCTGCCGGTTCCAATCCGAACAGAGATGAGATACAAATGGGCCTTTTCTTGTCTTTGTCCTTGTAGGCAGAGGCTGATAATTTCCTGTCGGTTCTCTCATCAAAGATAGGGAGCTCTCATAGCTTTGATGCACCTCTCCTCAGTCTCTAAAGGTAGCCAAGCCCTGCTGAGTCAGTTCCTTGTTTTTGCTTAGAAGCTCCAGACTCCACAGGACTTCTCAAAGCTTCCTGCTCTAGAGGCTTCCTTTGGTAAGTGGTGTAAAGAATGAGGCAAGATCCAAGCAGGGAGTGAGCTTTATCACACTGCAGTGGGCTCCAGCCAGGCCTTCCCCAGGCAGAGGGGAAACGTTGGAGAAGACAGGACAGGAAGGCCATTTCTGATTCAGTGGCTTCAGGTGGAAACTCCCCCAGTTGAGTCCCTAGAGAAAAGTGAGAAGGCCACAGGCCTTTGATCTGTGTCTGATTTCTGGCTCTGCCACTTGCTAGCTCTGTGACCCTGGGCAAAAAACTTTATCTCCTTGAGATGCAGTTTCCAAATCTGTAGAATGGGGGCTACTGTCTGTGCCTAGGTCAGCGTGCTCAGATACCTAGTGCAAAAAGCACTAAGCTTGAAGCATGGGCTCAATAAGTGAAAGTTATTAATTACTATTATTAATTAGGAGGTCTGATTATTATCACAT